TGCTTGCCTGCATTTGTTACTAATTTCTTTGTGCAATGTCCTATATTCTGTGCCATATCTTGGCATTATTTGCTGTCTCCTTTTCATTATGTCAAGAATTTAATCTGTTATCCATTCCTTTTTTACTTGATCTAGTTTCCTTTGGGATGAGCTCATTTGTTGATGTCATTAAAGCTTCTTTTAATGTATCCTATTTTGAATTACCATTCTCATTTAGTATCTGCTTTTAAGTTGTTTAAGTATACTTCTACTTCAAATCTGAATAATTCAGGTGTTTGTTGTACTGCAATTTGGCTGCTGCTTTGGCCCTTTTCAGTTTCCATAGATTCGCTCTTAGGTTACATATTACTGGAAGGTGGCTGCTCCTGCATTGACACTTGGATATGGTTTACAGTGTGAAACTGCATTCCTAAATCTTTTATTGATTGTTATGTAGTCGATTTAGTTCTTTGTTTCTTCTGAGCTTCTCCATGTTCATACAGGCTACTACCTGATCTCATTCACTGTGCATTACTGGACTCAATTTTCTCCATGTTCCTTATGAGTTCCTAGTCTGAATTTACCAACTATTTTACTATCTCTCTCCTTCCCTACTTTGGCATTCAGGTCAATCATGACAATTTTAATGTCCTGCAATTTGTATTGAGCCTTGCTGTTGCCTAGTATGCAGTAAAACTTTTTGATTTCTTCTTCTGTACTTTGTGTTGATGTATGATGGATAAGTTAAAGGTCTTCCCTTTCAATTTAACTACAAGAATTCTATCAGATATTTTATTTTATCCCAGAACACATTCCTTCCTTGATTTAATATCAGTCCTAAACCCTTCTCATTTTTCCATCTGCCTCTTGTCCCTAAAACTATTTTCTGATTGATGCAAACAATTGTGGGATAAAGGTCCTGTGACACCTGTCGTTCATGTTTTCCCTTACCAGATGAGGGATCAGTTCCAAGGAATCTGACCCCTTTCATCTTCATGTTGTTGTTCTTTGTAGGTTTGCTAACAGTCGCACTCAGGTGACACCCGTTGTACATGTCCCTGCTTCCAATTGATTTAATTCTCTTAATACTGTTATTTTTTATAATAATATTATTGAGAGTCATCAATATTTTGGAGATTGATAACAGAATGGTTTCCTGTTGTTTTCTTCATGGTGATTTTATTGAGACACCATCTCTAGTTAACTGGCCATTGACTCATCAAGAGTTCTTCTGTCCTTTGATAGGTTTATATTTTATTCTTGTTTTTATTATAAATATTTAAAATGACTTATTTAATATTGCATTATAGGATCCAAGGACTGTTCCTTATATTATAAGTAAATGTAGCAGTATAGTTATAGGTATTTCTTTTTTAATTTCAGATAAATTACAAAAAAGTTGAACAGAGTTCACAAAAAAAAATCACAAAAATAAATGAAAACTTTAGCAAGGTAAGAACAAAAAAGAACTAGCTTTAAGAATGTCACAAAAAGACACTTGAGAACAACTGAAAGGGAAATAAGAAAAGTGAATTAACTAAAAAGAAAATATTTGTTGTAAATATAAACAGAGAAAAGATAGAGAACATTAAGAACATTGGTGAAAACCATGAAATCAACCAAACTATCACTTTAAATAAAAATTACAGAGACAAAAATTTGGTGAAGAAGTACATGAAAACCTAATTTCTCACCACTACTTTTTAGTCTGAGAATATAGAGCTACATTTCATGGACTTGATGACTTGGTTAGTGTATGTGTTCTTTGTTCTATTGGTTAGCACAACTTTGAAGATAACAAATCTTTTGGGCTAGCAATTAATCCAATAGAAATTTTGGGGTCCATCATTAAAAGAATGTATAAACATGTAAAATAATTATTTAAGCATATATGAAATTGTGTTAATAGGAATCAAATATATTTTCTAGACCCTATGTCTTTTGGATTTAATTCTAAATGGAAATTTATATTGTCCTTATTTAATAAAACCTGATTTCTACAAAACAAATTATCATCAGTATTTCATTCATTTGTGAATTTTGGATAATCATAAAAGATTTATTATTCAAATGAAATGCTCTTTTTGAATTGGGTATGTTCTTTAAAAATCAGTATAAAATATTTTTTCATACAGATTGTTAAAAAATATTATTTGTATATATATATATATATATATATATATATATATATATATATATATATATATATTGTAAAATATAATGTAATTAATCAGATAAATTTAAAAAGGAGTAAAATTTAAATCAATATATTAATTATTACCAATCATTTTCACAGACATTGAACTGTTTTTGTTTCTTTTAAGCCATTGCCAATATAAAGAAAAATGACAAATATCAGGAGTATTTTTGATGTTGTTCATTTTTTAAATTAATCCTATTTTCAAAAATGTAGATGGATAGAATATACACTTGTGGAAACTGTAGGGAGATTTATAGAAATCCTTCAGCAGCTATTAACAACATCTAATAAACAGAAAATGTAGGGAAAATACAACTTTGTAAAAATAAAATAAAAAAAGAGCAAGATGGAAACTGTTGTTCTACTAAATAAATAAGAAATGCTTAGTAAAAATCCACAAATTTCCATTTAAAATCTTTATAATTATTGTTTAATCCATTTATTATTGAGATCTTTTTTGTAGAACTGTTTAAATAAAGCAGTAAGACATCGTAGGTATAAAAAGGGAGATAAAGTAAAAAATATTGAAGTGAAGCACATTAAAATGTGTTACAAAGAATTGAATATATTTTTTAGCAAAAACAGCTTATATTTAAGTGAATACAATTAAATAAAACTACAGGAAAAAGAAAATTTCTTCGGTTGGGGAAAATAAAGTAAGGGAAATAATTAGCCGTAAAATAAACATGAATAACTTCCCTTAGTTATTACTATTAATAAAATAGATGGTTATTTTGAAAGATTATTGTTACAAAATATTTAAGGTTTGAATTTAGTGTCTCTAGACTTTTGTTACAGTTGCAATTGAGGAAATGGTCTCATATATATTTAAAAATAAAGTAGTTGTCATTTCATAAGTGTCACTTCTCAACCAGAAACTAAGTTCACTACCAACAAAGTAAGGAACACTCAATTTCTCAGCTATATTTCAAAGATATACTAACACTTAAAAAGCAAATGAAAATCTAACTTTTGGTAATAATAAAAATCAAGTTTATTTTTAAATTTAACAGCTTGAAAAAAAAACCAAAAAAAAACCTAGTTTGTTTACTTTTATTAAATGAAATTAAAGATATTCTTTCTTGATGTGAATTTCTGTTTGAGGTTTATTCTTTGTTCTAATCTGTCTTTGAATTGTAATGAAAGCAAAAGAAATCAAAATGATGGAATTGATAATGAGTGATGTTTCATCTAAGAAATTTGATTACTGTTGAAATGAAAATAATACAAACACAAAAGCTTGTGAATATTTAAGAGGATCTGAAGAGAGAGGAAAGCAAAATAGTAATGGTTCAATGCACATTGCTAAACAGAATATATTCTTATTGTTCTACTTTATGTTATTATTATTATTTGGTCAAGCTAGGCCAGATATTCATGAGTCTATCACACCAACCATTACAGTTCTGCATCAAGGTTGGAAGCTCATTAGAGTGGCAATTCTGTGTCATAACATAGTTGGTCAATATGTAGGTGATTGCTGGACGACCAACCTGTCTTGCGCCATGGCTAGGTGCCAAGAGCAGTAGATTACTTACAAGTTCTTGTTTTGCTCTGTCGACAGTGTCCTATGAAATGTATTCTGTGTTTATGTAAGATTGTAGAAATATCAGGGATGGGTCCATAGAGATGTGATTTAGTTGGATGTTGTCTCCAAGAGATGTTAAGTATAGCACTCAGCCTCCGAGTGTATGTTCCATCAAGGGTTTTAGTTAATGTCCAAGCAGTGGGCATCATATATTAATATCACCTCATGAAAGAATCTGTTTGAAGTTGTCTGGTAGATCAGATTACATTCATTTTATTCAAGGCAGCCAAGGCTTTAACTATGTGAATTTTCACATCCTTTTCAGTAGAATTTATTTTGCTTTCAAGGGTATGTTAAAAAGATTTGACAGAATTTATTGATTCACCTGAGACGACAGTTTGTATTGAGCCTTGTTGGCTGGTTGAAGCTTTAGAGACATTGACAAAGAGTCCAGCATCATTAGCAGTATTTTCTAGACAATGTAGGAAAATTCTAGCATTGGTAATGGTAACTGCAGTATTAGCTAAGTAATCTGCATAGGCAATGTCAGTCAGTCAACTTTTTTTACAGTATATTGACTTGAGAGTCTTGGTGATAAAGTAAAATCTAGATGATGATGTTTGTCGAGTGAAGTTCTCAATATGTAGTTAAGGGTGATAACAAAGAGAAAAGGTGCAAGGGTATCACATTGAAGAACCCTTGCTTTGATATCAAAAAAGCTAGTATCTCTGTCTGGGAATTTAACCAAAGATTTGGTATTCCTGTATAGCATCATTACGTTATCTACTGTTTGGTGGGTGGGGTATATGCCAAAAGGATCTTCTCCATTTTTTCCTTATGTATAAAATCGAAGGTATTAGAGAAATCTACAAAAAAAAATAATGGGCCCTGTAGATTCTTTGTCCTGATGCCCTCAATAATCAGCAAAACAGTCAGGATTTGTCCTGGCTATAAATTAATAAATGGGAACGAAAAAGCAAATCAAGATCAATCAGAGCACTGAAATTCTACAGACGTAAATATGACAAGTCAAAGATTGAAATAATCCTTTACCTCAGTTAACATTAATATTTGCTGTGTTATAAATGACACAAACTAAAAATCCCATTTATCTGTTATACAGTTCTATTGAAATTCAAATATGCACTGCAACTATGCAAAGAAACAATAACAATAATAATCAGCTTTGAAAATATTGTAACCAATTTAAAATATTCTCTTATATAAATTTCACCCAATGTCTTGTGTTTGTTGTCTTATAACTGAATGTATTTTAAAACAATATAGACTTACCTGGATTAATAATCTCATCTTCATCTCTGAATATAACATGTGTACTTTTCCGTTTTCTCTTCAAAGGATTTGGTACACTATGATCAGGAATATCTACAAGGGAAGCTATTCTACGGTTGTGAGCTGTGTTAAATTCAGTCAAATTCTGTAAGGGAAAAAATTACAATTAAGACATTAAATTAAAATTTACCTAAAAATCAGTATAACAGTATATTTATGTAGTGATTATCAAAATTACAGAAAGATGATTTCATGACAAGTTCTTAAATGTGTGTATTGTGAACAAAGTAGAAGGTAACTTAAATTTCAGGAAAATCATAAAATTTGACCAGCATAAGTCATTATAAATTAATATTTTTCTTTAGTACATCTTCCAATGACATAATATTCAGTAAATCTGAGTGGCTCAAGTTTGCAGTGTAAAATCTATTGACCAAAGAAATATCTATAACATGTATTTTATTGAAAGAACATGACAAAATTACACATTTTTAATTGGCTTTGTTGACTTAATTTGTTATCAACTCATAAAACTTATATAGTTGTAAAGATTGTTTATTCTTTCTAACAATGCCAAGCTTTTCAATACAGAATCAGGACACAATACTTTTCTTTCAGATTAAAAGAGTTTAACACAAACTGATTGGTGATATCTCTCATTGTATATTTAAATCATTGTAACTTTAACAATGATACCAACATTATAAACAATCAGAAGATTGTTTTCTCTGGTAGAAAAAGAATAGGCCATGAATGTAGAAAAAATGTGAAACAAATTTAAATTGTTATAAATAAACTAGTAAAAGATTGAAACAAATGCATGCATCTATACAAATTAGTATCCAGTGATATGGTTAGACAGATTACTAATTAAAATTATTATTATACCAAGTATTACTGTTTGAATGCTAATTATTACAAATATAAGATGTTTACTTACATCTAATTCTGTTTCTGATTCAGGAAGTCCTAAGAGTCCACCTTCAATGTCATCATTTCTCTTTTCCATTTCTTCAGAACCCCCAAGATTACTGACAGGCTGTGGACGTTCTCTGATCATATATATTCGCGTTGAAGCACCAAAATGTATTTCACTATCAATAGGAACTTGCTGGGGTTTCTTTGATTCAAGTCGGATATGGCCAATATATGTGCCATGAGCTACAAAGCAAGCAAATAAAGAAAACATTACAATGTCTAATATCAAAATAATAATAATTCAGTTTTATTTACTCCCACAAAACCCCCCCCCGAAAATTATCAAAATTAGACATTTAGTTAATTTCTTTTTGCATAACATAAAATAAGAAAACTTGTCATTTTGCAGAATTAAAAAAAAATAGCAACACATCTTTGGCTGCAATTAAATACAGTAGGATCAGATGTTTTTATAATTCTCTCCTCTTTAAAATGATAATTTTTTTAAAAGTAAGTTTAATATATATTAATAACTGAGTATTTTTGGTCAATTTCATGTCTATATGCATATGTATACATTTACATATGATTACTATGTAACTGTCAATGTATTATAGTTGAAAATGCTTTTTTATAGTCTTAAATTCTATATTAAATCTTTAGTTAGATGTCTCCCAGGAGTTTTTTCTTGAGTTAACCCTACTTTACCTAAATGACCCACCTAAGAGTGATACTATGATCATTTGTGAATATCTATGCTGATGATAGTGTACAGTATATGGATACATCTCCAAAACTCTAGACAACCAGAGATTGGCAGTGGATGTGTGTCCTTGTGGGTGACTAATTATTTTCCACCTACAATCCCTTTCTCATAGATGAAATGTCAGAAATCTCTCACTACTCTATCACTATTTCCATGGAAAATGTTCAGATAAACTATATTCTATAGTTCCACCAGTTCTAACCTTCACAGCTAAGACCCACCATACTACCCACACATTGTAGCAAACCACTCTCTTGGAAGTCGGTTCCACATAGCACCTGTTCACGGGAAGAAGCTGCTTGAGTGGAACTTACATCTCACCAATGGAATACAAAGTGATGCTACAATGTGTGTAGCATGCTTTCCTGTTCACTCTAATCTTAACCTGTTCAAGTCTAGGATTAACTGTTATCTTCTTCACATATCCACATTAACTAACCTTCTAACTATAGTGTCTTGTACAGGATGAACATCCTTGTAAAAGAAAATTAACAATAGTATTAAACTGAATTCAGTATTTTGCAATGTTATCTGCATTTTATTGCAAGTAATAAAAACTGTTGTCAAATGAGAAACAAATTCAATTTTATAGTTAAACTATTCAATTTTTCTAGTTCTTATAAAGATAACGATTTTAATAAGAAAAAATAGAAAGTTAATTTCAGATATTAAGTCTATGCAGCAAATAACTGAGTAAACATTGTTATTACTTTAAACTGTATTTCAAATTGATACAAATGAGATATATTTTTCCAGTTAAAATGTTAGTTTATATACTAAGTAAAAAGTAATTTTAGTAGACAATGCTGAGAGAAGGGAATGGATAGTGAATTCAGATAAATTCTGGCTTTATGTTTAAAAAATTTTTCTTCTGCATTAAAAAGATGGTTCCCCTAAAAATATTAAAGATAATGAAAAATTACCAACAGAAATATCTTCATATGTTATTTATAACCAGATTTATAGTTTAAATTTTTCTTCAATTCCTATAAAACTAACTTTTGCAATGAATAACTATAAGAAATTATTGCTTTAAGAAATTTTTGTTTGGTATAGTTAACTACAAGACACATTCAAATAATACGATCAGAAAAGCTTTTGTGATATCTAATTTTTAAAAAAAAATGAGAAAATATCATAGTATTACTGATTACATCATTAAGTTTACAGCCTAATAATGAAAATAGTATTCATTTTATACAACAAATATCTGTTTCTCAACAGCATCTTTTTCCTTGTCAATGCACTTAGTTCAATGGTGAATATTAGTCATAGACTAAACATTATACAGGGAAAAATTTAATTCAATCAGTGTATAATGCCAACTATAATGTACAGGTACAAAGCAAACAAAATTAATGAAACTGCTTGAATAGAAATTTAGAAAAATGCACACAGATCAATGGAAAAAGGTCATGCTAGATGAAAAGAGGTCAATATTGATGAGAAAACAAACCAAGGTAAGAGATATCATAAAGGGATTAAATGTTACAATTGGGGCTGTGTAGTAAACATTGTCATTATCCAATTGTCTCATTAAATGTACAACTAGACCTGTGCAGTCAACAAGATATCAGATGGGGGGAAAAGGTTGCATAATTGGTGGCCAATGGGTAACAAAAATAGTAGGAAAAGACCAGATAGGAGATCGAGAGATGATCCATACTCATAAATTATAAATATTTTAAAGTTACTTGCACAACAATTACCAAATTTGTCACTGGGACCAATTATATATTAGTATAATGCATGGCCTTATGGCAAAACTGAATCATAAATATAGCATTCAGTCATTGCCAGTTTATTGCAAGATAATTTTTTTTTCCTAAATCCCATGATAACTATAGTTGTGTTACCCTGTGCTGTGTCATAACAGCAAAGCCCTCTATTTCATCTCTTTTATTTGGGCTTTTCCTATTATATTTGCTATCAATTGGGAACCAATCAAATTCCATCTGAAAACTTTTCTTCTTATGATGTCAACTGCAACACTTCCATTTGTGCTATTCAATCCCTTTTAAGACATCTTTTAAGATATACCATCTGGAAATAGGAAAACATTGTTCAGTTAGAAAAAATTTACTTTTTGGAAACTGTAATGATATATACTTATATAATTTTTAGAAACAGATAATTTTACATTTAAGTGCTATACAGTTGATATTATTTCAATGTACCTTACAGCATTTATGGGTAATAAACATTGAAAAGATAAAAATAAAACTGTTACTTATTGAAAAATATTTGCATTCACTAAAACCTACTTTGACCATTACCAGTTTGATTGGTAAGGGAATGTTTTAATCTTTGTAAGTAAATTCTTATTTTTAAACAAACTGAGATAATAAACAAGTATGACTAAAAATGATCCAAACTGAAATCAATCATGCTTAATCAATACAAATGAATTATTGCTTTAAAGCATTTTCCTTTGTTCAATTTTTGCTTCTTAATAAATATGTTTTCCTTTTCAGCTGCTTTCTTTCAGTTTTACCAAAATTAAAAAACCATTCACTCTTACCTGTGGAGTGAGTATGGTAGATGACAGTGTGAAAATCTAGAATTTTTTTTTACAAAAAAAATAAATAAATAGCATGGACATGAAGATCAGTAAAAAATGAACTTGAATTAACATTTATTAAAGAACAGACTGAGGAACCAATTAAGCAAAAGTAACAGGCTATGTTAATTATACTAAGTTATATGTTTACATATTAAAGTTTTCAGTTTTTAAACAACTGAAAAAAATAAAAAAAGAGAATAAATTACTGAGAACACAAATTTGTGTCAATTTCTACAAGTTAAATTTGCAAGAAGCCCTATTTTTGCACAGGTCCCTCTTCAATAAGAGAAGAGAGAAGGCAGCCACTTGCTGAGTTGTGATTTCAAAGATTGAATCAAGCAGTACAGCATCAGACTATGGAAAAGCAATACATCTTTCTTTGTGAGCTTTGATGTTGAAAAACTAAATATATTTGTAGTTTCAATTTAAAGGCTTCATATTTACAAACAAATGGTCATTGATATTTTATTCCCTAACAAAAATATAAGCACACTAATTGAATACATACAGGTTCAGAAAGTTCATTTCAACAGACTTCAGGCTCAGCTTAATCACATGAACAATTTATTAGTTTATAAAATATTGTCATCACATTAGAAAAATCCTGCTTAAATTTATTTTACTTAGTTGTCAAACCCTGGACAACTTATTCACTCAAAATAGGAGTTGGCTGAATGTACTGACAAGTAATTCTAAACAACAAAGTCCTGCTTTCACATTTTAATATCAAAATACAAGCAAATGATTTGGTCTTGTAGCAATAATTGATACAGTGACATGAAGAGGTTAGATAATTTATAAGAGAAAGCTAAGTGTTGAGACGTTGTGAGTTTCCCGCGTGTCGGTGTATGAATTAAGACAAACACAGTTGTAGAGGAAAATACTGGTATATTCATAAACGCAATTAACAATAGAGTGATTAATAGAACGAAGGTTGGTTAGTACGAACAATATCCAAAGTCTATAGTCCAACGGTATGTACCGGGTAAGCTTATCTGGACTGCTCACGCTGACTCTCTCTCTCTGACGCTCTCCCACTCTCTCTCCAGAGCTGACTTATATAAGAGGGACCAGTCCATTACTAGTTAGAAGGTGGGTGCGCCCCAACACCCCCCCGCTAAAATTGTTTTTTTTTTTTCTTTTTCATTGTGGGGAGAAAGAAAAAAAAATTAATATTTTTTCCTTTTCGGGTCTATTATTAAATTTTGTGTCGCTTTACGTTTTCTTGCAGATCTCGTTGTTTCTGCTCAGTCTGCCGGTATTTGCAGGTCAAACGTATCAAACAATTCGTGTAATTCGTCTTCTTGTGGAATTACTACCGATTCGTCGGTCTTTCTTTTCTTCAACTGGTTAATGTGCCGTTTGTGTGTAAATTTGTTTCCTTGTATAATGTATACCATATCCCCAATGCGTTTTTTTATGACCCTGGTTCCCATGATGATGCATTATTTGTATAATTTTTGAAAAAAATTTTTTCATTAATGTTAAATTTTCGCCTGGGAACCATAGCGACTGTTGAGTGTACCTTATTTTCTGGTATCAATTTGTCAAAAACCGATCTGACCTTTCTTGCGAACATTAGTTCCGCAGGTGATAGGCCTGATGGGGCAGATTTATTGGGGGTAATTGGCACACTTGCAGGAACAGTTATAACGCCTTTCTAGTCGGGGTACCTGTTGCTTTCCTAAGAGCTCTTTTCAGTGTATCGATGAACCTTTCGGCTAGTCCGTTGCTGCGTGGGTGATACGGAGGAATCCTCACATGATCAACTTGGAAATTTTGGCAGAATTCTGTGAATTCTTTGCTTGTGAATTGGGTACCATTGTCACTAACAACACTAAGTGACAACTTTTAGAAAATAATTTAATTTAAAACTATGTTTGCAATAGTTCAGAAATAATGTCAAAAGAGAAACTTAATATTTCACAAGTACATTGATGGTGATGGTGGGGTCTACTTTTCTTTTAGTGGGACTGGATTTGTATCTTGTTTGATTTTGTCGTGGACATAGTTAATATTGAGATATAGGAACAGGTGAAGAAAAAGTAGCAAAACACTGACAAGTAGTACATGCATTAATTAGCTGGATTAATTGTTCAAAAGTACAGCCATAACTGTACATGGCATCAAGAGGCCTCACCTGAATCTACTGCATAGTCCATATCCTATTCATGGCAATACAAGACCTTTGATATTACACACTTGTTGATGGAATAGCTCCTTCAGGAGGTTACTCTATGGTTTAGATCCCTGACTATCAAGCATCTGTCAACCTAGAAAACCTTTTACCTCTAGCACTCTTTGTAAATAAATAAAAAATATAAGAAAGAAAAAATACAGGCATACTACTTGGAGTGAACATATGTCATCTACCCAGAAATCAAGGCAACAGAAGTTCTCCTTGAGTCAGAATCATCACTGACTAAGCTGGGAGGTCAGGCACTGAGATATGCTCACTTGCATATGAGGAATAACACTCACAGGTAGATGTATTGAATAGAAATTGTTTTTTAATTTATTATTATTTATCTCTATTCAGCTGCACATTTAATATAAACTTAAAGTGCTGTAGCTTATTGCTTTGCTGTGAAATGAGAATGGTAAATAAAAAATAAATAAATAAAGTAAAATTTTCAGTAAGATTACAGAAAATATGTTTTATTTTAATAAGTTTCCAGTTTAAGGAGATTCAAATTTTCAATTTAGTTATGAATTAAACTGTAATGGCTTATTTTATTTTCAATGCTCAACTAAAATATTTTTGTGAGAAATAAAATGTTATTTTCTTTAAATAAAATCAGATATCATTTAAAAAAATAATATAGGTATTTACTGTATATCATAAATAAGCAGATATGTGTGAATCAAAATTATACTCTCTTATTTTTCACCAATTGTTTTGAAAAAGCATTTAATGATTTTTAACCAAGATTCTGCTTAAATGCCAAGGTGATTGGAACTTGTATGATTACAGCTGTGATTAGTGTAATAGTAAACATTGGCAGTAGAGAAAATGACATTGTGAAAATACATAGTAAAATCAATCCAATAATGTATGTTGAAATAAAAAAATTAACTAATAATTTTTAAAATTAACTTTATTTTATAAAAAAAAAATTAAATTCAACATTAGGTAATTATTAATGAATTTTTGTGTGTAATGGCATCTGAAAAACTAAAACATTTGAGTCCTCCAAATAATAATAGGAAAATGATGTGTTGCATATATATGCACCATGAAAATATTAGTAATTGTAAAATATGTAAAAGTACTTACTGCTGCCAAGATCCATGATGAAAGGGCGAGCAAGGTGTTTATGCCATACAAGGGCAGCATGAACTCGAGAACAGGATGCATGATCAATACAAAAGTCACAAAGCTGTTTGTTTCTACCAAAGAAGTAACATTTTTTTTCATCTATCATAAGTTTCTGAAAAGACAAAAATAAATATGGCCATGAAATATTGGGAAAGTCAATTTTAATTTAATAATCAATATTAACATTTGTAAATCAATCAATCTGACCTCAAATAAAATTATCAAAATTGTGAACCTGCCACATAATTGTGTATGGATCAATAAGTCTGTAACCTCTAATACATAATTATCAGTTGAATTTTGATTTGAAATTTTCCCTGTATCCAATTTATTTAAGTATTGTGCCAAATACACTGACATAATGGAGGAGATTGTCTTGAAAAATAAATATTTGTTGTGTAAATAAATGCTTATCATTAGGCTACAGATTTATTTATGTACTTACAAGATATTACATACCAACAGATTTTACAAACAACAGTTGGCAGCTGATAAATGCAGTTTTTTTTTTCATAATCTCAATCTCACATTCACATTATATCCTACATGGTGAAGGTCAAAGTTTTGAGAATCTAGCCAATTTTCTAAAGATTTTTTTTTTGCGATAAAGTTAGAGGCTAGGGAACATTTAGCTGGCTCTTTACTTATACTGCAATAAACAGAGTTCAAACAATTACCTACATCATGAACAAGTTTTAAATAATCTTTGCCCAATAGTAAATTCATTTACTGTCAGCAAAATCTGTTAGTACATACAAGTAAAGCACATGCACTTCAAAAAATAAAGTTATATTTTTTTAAATTTTCATTAATAATGATTATTTTCAATTTACTATTCTTTATTCTTATATATAACTAGCAGGCTTCGCCCGCTGGCTATCAATTCATGAAGTAAGATATATTCACTACTTCAAATCTTTGAAACAAAAATTTTAAATGGACATTTTATTCATAAATTGGCTTGTTATAGTTAAGGAAAGTTTTATAAATAGACGCCAACTTGTTGAAGGCTACACTATATAAGATGATATTCCTAAACAGAACAATTTTTGATATATAAATCAAAACAATCCTTGAATAAAAGAAAAGTAATAAAGCACAGTTAATTAATGAGATAAACTTTTTTAAAATCAATATACAAATTAGTTAATCCTAAAGTAGAGATGGGGCATTTTAATCTCAGAATTTAAGGAAGAATTGAGCTCTAATTTCACATTTATTCATATAGATTCCATAATATAGATTTCACTCAATTAGCTATTATGTTTCTCTAACCCTTCAAATGTTAAATGTATAACTAATTCTAATTTCTATTTTCCCATCTTTACACTATATTAATTTTATCTTATAAATTATCCCCTGTTCTTTTACACATGAAATAAAAATAATTGTTTGTACAGAAAATAAGGATTTCTATACATCAAATCCTCTTTAAATTAAGTGGCAGCAGAAGAATTATCATTAAACTTTTAAAAGGTAAGCTTAAACATTAATTCAGTACTTAAATGCAGCAATCAATTTTGAGTTCTTCTGTAGTTTATTGATGCCTATCACATCTACTCCTCCCTAGATATTGTGATGATGGCCAAACCAAGAGTCCTCCATAGGAACTAGCTTAAATGCTGTTCGATAGGGCGGCTTTTAAGCTTAAAATTTTAAGTTAGCTGCAATTCTGGATACAAAAGGAAAATAAGAGTTACTCCCCTTGAACCATGAAGGCAATGATAATGGCTAGTTTAATATATTAATATATATTTTTAACTTTGCATAATCTGGCAACCCTGAATCTGAGTACAATGAAAATCATTCCCTGTGCCTAACTTTTCTAGGGTTTTTGAATGAGCTATGAATCATTGAAATTGGACTGTACTTTATATATAAGATATTTAAATTAGACTTGTCATTTTTATAGTTCTGTTTAGAACAATATTGATTGTAAGCATTTCTCCCAATATGATTAATTTCATCATTATAAAAACATTTTATCCGGCTGCATTTAAAATTTTTATGAAGTTGTTGGCTTCATATATTTGTTTCTCAATACATGAATTCAAGCAAAAAAATGAGCCTCCTGGGTCTCCTCTTTTAGATGTTCTTGAAAGTGTTTGATTACTTTTATTATCCATTTTCTTTAAGTGTTAAAGATGAATAAACAAGATTTTTGTGTCAGTATGTTGCCAAAGCCACCCACAATATCAACAGTGCTTAGAGTAGTGGTTTCAAACATGCAGCCTGCTGGAAAACATTTTCATGATCAATATTTTCCTCAAATTTTAATAAGTCTCATTTGCTTTTTTTTTTACATTTATTAAGAAATAAATAAGAATAAAGTGTAAATAGGTATTGAATAAGATATAAATAAGAATAAAGTGTAAATAGGTATTGAATTATTATATACATGATAAAAGTTTATATATATATATATATATATATATAAGCCAAAAAGGATAAATTTTCTACTCATATTTGCCTGGGGGTGTAAATACACAACAGAAAATGAGGATTTTCTTTTATAACAAGAGGAGCAATAGATTTAATCTCATATTGTGATGGATGGAATATATGAGGTGAAAGAATCCTAACACAACAGAATATGTTAGAAAGAAGTTAGGGAGAAGATTGTTAAATAAACTGAAATTTCAAGGAAAGAAGATGTCTTTTCAGTCAACTACATAATTGAAACAAAAAAAGTAAAATGTTGACAATCTCAAAGAAAAGAAAAATTGCCAAGGAGAACTTAACTTTTCAAGAAAGTGGGAATATTTATATTTTGTGATAGAGGTAATTAAGGTTGCTGATTATCCTGCACTTGAGAAATTACATGTAAATTTTGCTATTTTAAAATTGTACTTAATAAACAGAAACAAATGGAATACATATAAAAATTCACCTTCCAGCATCTCCTGTCTCTCTGAAACAATTCTTATCACTGAAAATTTACCATGTGATTTAATTCAGAATTGAAGGTTCATGGAGCAATGGTTGGGAACCAACCCATAAATGACAACAAACCCCATGGTTCCCTGCTTCTGGCCTGATGTGCCCTATCCTTCAACATAGGATAATGACCCTTTTTGTGTCCTTGAGTTTGAGACCCCTGGCTTAGAGTCTCAGTTTCACAACAGAATGTGAATCACTGGTATAGTTCACTTCCAATGAGAATGCAAGTCATAATTTGGCAATAGATGACAGCCATGGAAGTTCACCCAACAAAGAAACACTCAGCTATTGGGAGCAAAGCTTTGGGTAGCCTATACAAAAATCAGAAGCCATCTGAACTCAATTCAATAAAATGAAGAAAATACAGAAATACTCCATGATTTGACTAATTATGAGCAACTTGTACAATTTGAGACTTGTTGCAATTTGCCTGTTCTTTAAAATAAATGACCCTTTTCTTGATTGTGTGTTTTTACTGTTAATGAAAAGTAACTTGATCTTCTCAAAAGCAAATCCTTACTCTAAAAAGATCCTGATGACCATTTGGTAATTTATTATAGCATCTTGCAACCTGAAAGAATCTTATCATCAGGATTTGGAACTGACACACCAAAACATGCAAACATTTTGGTGAGTAGGAATAAATAGAAAGAGGAACCTATCCTGTTGCAGAATAATTCAAGACCTTATACTTCACTAACCACCTGGTAAAAACTGATGCCATAATAACTAGCCCCAAACTCCATATTCACAGAATCTGTCCCCTAATGATTACCAATTTTTGAAGACTTACATACATATATGCACCAGAAGGTGGGGTAAACTAATGCAAACCAAGTGAAAAAGATCTTCTGGGAGTTTGTCAACTTCCATCACTGCAGTTTTTAGCATGGTGGAATAATTTCTTGGACAGATCATTGGCAACATTGAGACAATTTTGATGTTTTGACAAATAAAGATGCATTTGAATAAAGATGTTTAAAAAAATAGTGGCTATTTTGCTTGAACCTGATATAATATGGTAGAATCACTACTTTCCTGGAAAATTATTTCATTTATATTTCCTATATGTAATTTTTGTCTTTACAAGGTCAATCATTGAAAGTTAGAGACCAATTTGCTGTCAATAAGTCCCTTCATGAATGTAGCTGACACTAAAGATTATCGAAAAATTGTCTTGATAGAAAACTGCAAAAATACTAGCCACTGTTCAAATAATCTGCATATTAAAGTTCATAAAATTCATCCTCTACTGTTATTTACAATGATTACCAACTTTCAATCTTCCACTTTTGTTCTCTGTACAAATTTTTTGCAATATACTTTTCGTTTAATTGCTCTTTTCAGGCGTATGATGGACAATAAATCAAATTAAAACATGTCCTTCTTGTTCTCTATCATGAACCAATTAAATGTTCTACTTTAACAGTCATAACAAAACTACATAAAAAATGAATAACCTCCTCTGATAGTGCTACACCTTAGTTGAACCAATTTATATTAAAATATATATCAAAATAAAAATAATTTTAAAAAAGTACCTGAATCATTTTTCCTTCCTTTAACACATCCAAATGAAGCCCTGATGGTGGTTTACCTGCCCTGGTAAAACAAAAACAAAAAAAGTTTCAATGTTTTTGGCATGACTAAAATTTACAAAATCATTTATATTATTCAGTGAATTAACTGTATTCTAAATGAAACAAAGGTTCTGTGCATTCAGGGTAGTTGATTTTTTTCTTCATTTTTATACATTAAGAAAGCAAAGAAAGAACAAAGCTGATGTAAATAAATTGAGAAATTAATAGGGACAGTAGGATAATTTAGGATTGTCAAATTAACAATTTTTTTATATCTGACTGACTTTTTCCCAATTTAGTTGATAAAAATCTACATTTAATTTTTGCCATATTTTTTAAGATACTAGTTGCATCTACATTCAATTTTGTCTTTTTCTTTTTGTTGTTTACTCAGATAATCAGTCATACAACTATTTTATTCTTACAGCATTTTAAAATAACAGATTAATGTGGTGATCATCAGCTATATATGATCGATTTCTACATAAATAACCTCGTCATTTTTTGTGTAGTTTGTTAGTTTTGTTTCTTTTAACTTAGATTTGGGTTTTTCAATTCATGTCCGTGTTGTTTTTCAACTTTGAAATTTAATGAGTACAATTTTATAACTTTTTTCTATTTTTAACCTGTAGTACAACTTACAATCAGGACAACGATGGTTAAATTATGCCAAAAGTTCAAAATAAAATCTTATAAAATTTCCTCAAGAACTACATGACTTAAAAATTGTTCTGATATGCAATTTTCTTCCCATGAAAAATTTGTGATAAACACATTTTTCTAAATGTAGGAAAAAAAAGTAAGAGATTTTGTTATGAAAAAAATTTCTTTTAGTTTTTAATTTACATTTATTGAATAAATATTAACTGTTTTAACATGTGACACTGAACAATATATATTAAGCAACTGATGGTGGAGTAATGGATATTAGCTTGGATTGAGAAATTGGAGAGCCAAGTTCAAATTCCAGACAGATCCATTACATTCACTTACATGCTAATACCCTTGGGAAAGGTATGAATCCTCTTCTCCTCCCAGCTATGGGTAAATAGCAGGACTTACCGGGTTCTATAGTCTTGGATGGCAACTGGTCTACTGCAGAAAGAAATGGCAACCTATCGCGGAAAATGGATTGAAAGATACATGATTACCTAAGTGTGTATCATGCATGGCACATAACTGACTGAAGCGGATGGTCAAACATTCACAATGAGCCCATTATGTGTCACTCTGACAACATCAACTCGTCACATATACCTAGTGAACACAATAGACACATCAGACCAACTTCATGCTGCAGAATACATTCAGAAAATTGCCATGTCTTCAATAAAGAAGTCAGTAGAAGACTTTGGCTGTTATGTTGGTAGTGTGGTAACAGATAATGCATCTAATGTCAGCAAGATGAGAAAACTATTTGAAGAAAGTGAATTGAATGTTTTGACTTATAGATGATCAGCACACATTTTAAATTTTCTGGCTTGTGATTTAGAAATTCCTAATTTAGAAAAAAAAACGTGATTTATGTGATTAAATACTTTAATAACAATCATTATGCATCATCAAGATACCACTGTCAAGAAGGTGGTAATTATCTTGTCATACCCCCAGAACACTCCCTGGAGCATCATGTCAGAAAGTTTGAAGACTTATATAGATAACTGGCCAATTCTCTTCCAAATTTGTGAAGTTAGCAGGGACAAAGTAGATTCACTAGTGAGAAATAAGGTAACCAACCTTGTACTAAAGTAACCTGCAGAGGAACAACTTTTACAGTTACAATCCATAGCTAAGGCACTGGAAATAATTCTGAGTAACATATGCACCATTGCATTGAATCAATGGATATTTGGAAAGGATAGTTCAAGAATTTTGAAAAAGTTCCTGACCCCCCCCCACCAAAAAAAACCCTGATATAATGGTGAAAGGTTCAACCAAAGTGATCATCTTGCCATGATTCATCCTTATCTTCAAGGAAAATCATTAAGCAAAAAGGAAGTTAATATTGCAGTTAAATATACCAGTGAGAAATATACCATACTTTTTCCCATGATTAAAGTTGCAAGAGAGGCCTCCTCCTTTCTAGGCATTTAAAATTGCAGACTCCATCAGTAAGACAGCCTCTACTATTGAATGATAGGATTCACATGCAAGTGTGTTGAGCAGTGATATACTTTCTGTGGTTAAGCAACTCCTGTCAGCAGTGGCCTCATTTGGCAATGACCACGTTTTCTCATCCTATGGACTGGTGCATTCCAAATTGAGAAACTGTCTTGGTACAGATAAAGCAGCAAAACTGGTCTTTCTATTTAAATCCATGAATGAAAACGCTGCTCATGCTGAATTTTTAAATTTGTTAAAATGGTTGAAATTTCATTTTATAGTAAAAAAAAAAAAAAATCATTCATTTGATTAATAAATATTTGATTCAATGTTTAACACTTTTCTTCCTTCATGAAATTAAATAAAAACAAAAAAATTGTATTTTATTTATAAATCTGTTCAGCATTATCAGAACCAAATGACTGAACTCACAACTATCAGCCAACCAAATAGTTTTTAACCAATGTTTTAATCCACCAAGAATGGACAATCCATTAAGTTTGGAGCTTTAAAACTAATGTCTGTACTCAAATGGTTGAATTAGGATTGTTCTTATTCAGGTAGTTGGATTTTTGAGTATCCTTTCTTAATCAGGGATTCTCATATTATTAAGTCTTTATCTCTGTTATGTCAACATAGGAGGTTGTCAATGTGCAGATTCTGTCAGTTGTCTTGCCCTCCATTGTTGTCTTATCTTGGTTTAATTCCACAGAGTTTGATGACCATCCTTCTCCCCTCCATACTTTTGATTCTCCTCCACTCTTGCTTCAGCTGGTGTCTGTGTTATATATTCTCTGCAATTTATTAGTACAGCTAGGAAGGCCAGTTGATCTTCTTTTCCTTGCAAACTCTATAGAAGGGAGGTCTTATTGAGTTCACATGGTCCAGCAATGCTTGCACATTTTCCTAGTGAGGCCAAAGTAAGAAAATGTTATCCATGTATCTAAGCCATGTGGTTGGCATTAGTGATGATATTCCTCTTGCAATTTCCTTAAAGTATTCTTATGAATATGACAACCAAGATGAGTGTACCAGCCCAAATGAAAATGCATATTATAATTCCACATGTCAAAAATTTGGATGTAATATTTTTAATGATACAACTTCTGTGCTATGTTTTTTAAATAAAAAAAAACTGATGAAATTAAACATTAAAATTAGACATTTAAAATTTGTTATCATACAAATCAATAGGTAGTGTAGAATATCTAATGAACATAATATATACATAAATGTGTTGAATGAGTATAAAATATTTTGAAAGATAAATCTAAACATAACAAAACTGTACAAACATTCACTAGTTGCCAAATTAATAATAAATATTTTTGGTTCATCTATGAGTAAATAATTATTTGAGAATTTCACAAGTATACTTAGAGTAGATATTGATATGAAACTGGCAAATAAATATGACTTCATGTTAAAACTGATTTTTAATGTATTAAAAGTAATGAGATCTCTCTTAACATCATTTGAAAGACAAGATTACATAAAAGAAAATGTTTATTCATCTTGTTATGACAACAAAGTTGAGTCTTTATCAGTAAATGATACTGAGTGTAATATCATCTGTCAAAACATTTTCCAACAAATCAGTTTTTTTTTACACTCATCATTTTTCATTTTCATTAAAAAAAGTTTATATTTTAAACTTTTCTATTATCAGGCAAGACAAAAATCAATCCTATTTCTCTGTTTTGGTTTGGTATTCAAAGAAACCAGCAGTTGAATTTTCTTAAAACAATAGATTGGCTTAAACAATTAGATTTTACAAAAATTAGATCTTTTAACTTTTAATATTAGTAATAATTATAAATTATGGCTATAATTGCTGTTAATGATTGAAAATTAGTGGTATTATTTAACCATAGATATGATTACTGAGGTTCCTGTCAAATATTAAATAGTACTAATATAGAGATATGTGCAGATATGAAGGTAGTTTAAGGTATCAGAAAGAATATGACCTTAGCTTTTAATTAACTGAGAGATTTAGAAAAATTATTTAACATAACACTTTATGAATGAAAATGATTATGTTCCAACTCCAATGATTGAAATTACAAAGGTATGCTGGAAAGTTTTTGGCCATACTCACATCTTAGTTATTTTAGAATGCAAAATGACAATTTGCAGAATCCTTGCACTTATTTTTTTTTTACTTGTTTTAGATCACTGACTGAACCATGTCAACAGAAAGTGTGTTATTTTCAAGTGCTGAACTCTGGGCTATCATGAAGTTCCTACAGAAGAAAACTCCAAAGTAAATCAATGAGAGTATAATGCAAATATTGGGTAATAAGTGGCCATCAGACTCAATTAGGAAGGAGTGGATAAGGCAGATATTCTGATGACTATCTTCAGTGGGTCAAACAGTTAATACTAGAAGCTCTACTCTAACTTGCTGGGTCAATTAAAGGGGGTATATTTAAAGATAAATGGTAATGAAAGTTTGACAATGCACCTGCTCACATGGCTGGCAAGATGATGGATGTTTTGAAGAGTTTGGGGTCTATATATCTATAAGTCTACCATTTGTCCATGCTTAGAATATTGCTGCCACACATGGTCTGGTGCCCCTGCTATTTACCTTGAGATCTTCGATAAGATCCAAAGAATTTGCAATATTATTGGTCACTTTCCCACCACCATAATGTTACCTCTCTTTATCTTTTCTATATTTACTTTCATGGTAATTGTTTGAATGAGCTCTTCTCTATGGTACCATGACTAATATTATTTTCTTTAGTTTCTTGTAAATAGTTTTGTATTCAAAATGTAAATACTCATTGGGGTTAGTTTTTAGAATTGTTGTTTTATTCCCCTCCCCCCACAGACAATGAATTGTAAATATGGGGACTAGTTAGTATTTTCATAGAGACAATGAGGTATTATGGTGGATGTAGTAAGAAAGGTACGTATGAGTGTGTTGTTTTGGTGTAAGGAATATTGTTCGTACGATTGGGTCAGTATTTGCAAGTTATAGTTAAGACAGAAGAAGACCGTCCTTTCCCCGATCCCCCCCTACAGCCTTGTGCCACATTTCTTCATCGCTCTTCTCTATGGTACCTAGAGTTTTTGAATTTAAGTGCAGCACGAGACTGGCATCAAGATCTCATCAATTTACAATTGAGCTGACTAAATGTAACCATAAATTCTATGCTAACAGTTTCTTCTCTCACACTTCTCTCTTGCAGAACTCTCTTCTGGCTCCATGCTTTTCAACTAACTTTAATCTGCAAAAGTTTAAATGCAATGTCAATCGCTATCTAATGTCCACCTGGTTACTCTCTTCTTTCTGCTCATCATTAATGTTTCTGTTTCTAATCTTTCACACCTTGTAACCCTTTGTGTTTTAGTGGCATTACTACCTTTCTTGAGGTGATTCCAATTAAAAAAAAAAAAAAATGTGCGTAGACCATCTATTCTATTTCCTAGATCTTTCTCTGTTTCTAAACCATAAAAAGGAGTGTGAAGAGGTGGACATTTTTTGAATGCTTTAGAGATCATAGAAAATAAAACTAAACAAGCCAGTATTTCAATGACCAAACATAAGCATTAAAGAATATTGAGAAATAATAATAAGCCAAGTAAGTAGAACTGTGGGGGCAATGTGTGGAATAGCATGTGTTTCACAGTTCTAAATCATTGCTTTCTTTGCTGATTTTTATCACCCACTCAAACATTTTAAACGTTTTTAACAGAGACAGTTTGAAAAAACAAAAAAAAAAGACAATTCAACAATAACATTTATTTAAAGTCTGTGATCCAAGCAAGTCTTTTACCAAGAATATTATTATAAGATATATATGAAGATACAATCAAACATTTAGCAATTTTTTTTTTTTTTTGACAGTAATGCAGTAAAATATGCAAATATTGAAATAGTGAATGCATTTCAATGAAGTAGGAAGAATTAAAGTTTTACTCAAAGCTCAAAAAGAATGTCATTAATGTACATTTCTTTATTGGAACAGAAATGTATGACTAGAGTGAGTGGACTGTGAATGTAGAAAATAAGTTTTTACATATTTGTCAAAAGGGAAAACATTATATTCATCTCACAATCAAAAGTGAAAAGCAGCTTTTTGTGTGCATTTTTCCTCGCCTTAATGCAGGTGTGGGCATAGTTGTAGACAATCATCTTGGTTCAACTTTTTGTTCGATTTCAGTTAAAACAAGTTGTGCAAATCTACTCAACCTACAAACAACTTATCTCAGCTATAATTCTTACAAATATGAGAATTTGAAAAATCTTGCTGCAGTAATTAAAATATTAATAAAAAATTGACAAAAATTAATGCCACAAACAACATAAAATTAGAAATAAAAAAATGAGTAAATATTTAGTAAATAAATATCTAACATTTAATCTCAAGAAAGAAAATAAATAATGGTTTTATAGCATTTTATTCATCTTTAGAATACCACTTCTTCCAAAAAAACGATTAAAGAAAATTAATTAAACTAAAACAAAAAAAAAAAAATTATACATCTACTTTTCCAGTAAAAGTTTTGGCGGAGCACTATCGGATTATTTTTTAAATCGCATATTTGCTATATATCTGTCAAATACATACCCAAAACATCACTTCATTTTTAAGAAACATTTTTCAAAATTTGCCAAAGGCAAAAAATACAAATGATCTCTTGATTAAGTTAAAAACATGTTAAAAAAAAAAAAAAACTAAAAGCAACAAAAAACAAGAATACGACTCCTGAGGATCGTTTCGAGTTGATAACACCTTAAAGTTGTATATTTGAAAAAAATTTAAATAGCCCTTTAAAAGATATAGCTCGACTCCCTTTAATTTTATAAAGTGTAAAAGTAAGTAAGAAAAAGGGTTTTTTTCCTGATCATTTGTTGTCATCGTTTTCAGGTTTATTTTTATTTATTTTGTTTGTATTATTATCCCACCAGCGTGCATACCGGCTCATGTTTTAATGACATTACAGACGCTTTAAAAGCTAATCTGCTTACAAAAAAGACTCTGTTTAAGTTTCCTGGTGCTCATATCGCTATTTTAATGTTTTGTCCAACGGTTAAAACAAGAAGAAAAGTCATTACTAACCATGAGGGAACTTCAAAGTTATTTACGAGCGGTTCTTTCGCCATTTTGGAAGCTAAGCTAGGATTGTGGGTAATTTAGCTTTAGGGGGAATAACTCTGGATGATATGTTTTACTAAAAATATTACACAGCAGCTGTGAACATCAAATAATTTTTATTGTCCGATATCTAACAGGGGTAAATCTAAAAAAATCAGCAAAATGATAGAAATTTATAATATAAAAAGAAATCTAAATTTTAATTACAATTTACACGCTGTAAATCTAAAATTAAAATGTGTAAAACTTTGTGATAATTATTTTTTAGCCTCTCTATCGAGAATTATTTTTTACTTTTTAGTACAGCAAAATAATATTTTAAATTTAATAAAATAATATTTTATATTTAAAGAACTAAAAATAAAGAAATGTTTCCACGATTTCTCGTTCAGATCATAAAACAATTTAAAAAAAAACATTTTTAAAAAGCCCGTTCAACGTTTGACGATGCAACGAATTGCAAAAATTTGCCAACATTGTAAGTAGATTTAAAAATAAATTTAAATTAAATTTTAAATCATTAATTCTTAAAAATAATTATAGTCTGATAATCATTATGCTAAAGTGTTGTCAATGTGTTGTTTTTTGTTTTTTTTGTTGTTTTTTTTTTACCCAACTTATTACCTTCTTCCCTTTTTTTTATCACAGCATGCAACCACGAACGATTCTTTCGCGAGAACAGGTCGTTGGGATTGCTATGAGTTCAGAAGGTTTTTATGGTTAGTTTACACTACAGGCATGTTCATCATATTAATCCGCAACAATATAGAAGATGGACATTCAAAAACGAATCAATCACAAGGCAATTGAGTAAGAAACACCGATTATGAGATTTCAATAAAACAACATGCATTTATGTACAATTACAATTTGAAAACTTGTAGTTTGATAATGCAAGAAATTGACCATTGATAAATTGGGTTTCTTATTGATTTACAGTTCAAAATTGTTCAAGTGTTTAAGAACTGGTCAAACAGTAAAATGGAAAATTTTATTTATGCAGAAATTTGTGTAGTTTGTATGCGTGAATAAAGTTAAGGTTTAATTGTCTAAATTCTCCAGAGTTGTTTACCTTGGATTGTTCTGTGTTTGTCTTTGTTTAAAATACAATTTCTAGTGTATAAGAACACTTTTCTTAGAAAGTTGTAAGTGAGGTGTGAGAGATTATGTTGATGTTTTAGTCAGCAGTTGACGCACGAAAAGTATCTTAAGTCAAAGTAGTGACACGCGTGGATTTGTGTGGCATCTCTCTGAAGTTTATTGACTGACAATACTGTATGAACAGCAAATGTGGCACAAGGCCAAAAGGGGTTGGGGGACCAGAGAACTAACATCACTGACCACCTAACGAGGGAGGGGATGGGGAGTTAAACTAAAGGAAAAAAGGGGGGGCAGAAATAAAAGGGGCCGATGAGCAAACACACCCTAGCTAAGTTTAAAGAAAAAGGAAAGAAAAACTAAAAAATCAACTACAAAAACCTAATCTAGCCTAAATCCAGGGAAGGGCTGCCGATGTTCAATATCCTGATGCCTAACTGGCATCAAAATGCCACTCCAGGTCAGCCCCTTTTACGCGCAAGTTTCACCCACCTTTTGCCAAATTCTGATGAGGTGAGCCGTCCTAATCTTGACTTTAAGCTGATGCTTAAAGAACAAGATCAGTTGGGAAGAAGTGAACTTCTCGCCCTCATAGAATTCCTTCTGACGCGTCATCCAAATCACGACTCTCATAACACCTAGTAAGCAACAGAACACATAATGTTCAGCCTTCGTCATCTGCTGCCCCACATTGCTACAAATAGAACTGACCTCGAGGACCAAAAACTTTCCCTGCAGCATGCGAACCATGAGGCCTTCAACAAACTTGCACAAAGGCACTACCATCAATGGTCTCGACTTCCCCAGTACAGCGACAGCAGTTTGGATATTTCTCCAAGCCTGCTGAATAGAGTCTTTTGGCGACCCAGAGGGCCCCACGAATCACCAGCCAGGTGAGTGATGACTCATCGTTATTGAGGCATTTCAACCCAGGCGCCCAAGGCCATATTGAGCGAGCCTCCTGCTTCGTTAGACCGCGCTCGTAAATTAGATCATCCTGAACGCCCCCCACCCCACCCCGACTAACAATTTGATACAATGCCCTACGAGACAACGCCCGGGCATTGGAGAGGCCATCCGACGCCCGTAAGAGCACGGCGACATTCGCAGTAGAAGGATCATTCGACTCGGGGTGTACGGCCGGCCTCCTCCTCGCACGAGTGCACACTTCTCAGGGATGGGAAATGTTTACGGACGTCTTCCTCCCAGAAGGCGCCATCCTCATCCGATCCGCGACACATTCGGTCTAGAAAGTTAATGCGAAGCATATATTGACGAATCTCAATGCTAGGCATACCCAGATCGCCCTCAGAGGGATGAAGGCAACAGATCTCGCGAGATACCATAGCGGCCTTGTCTCTCCACAAGAAAGAGAACAAGAGCCTTACTAATAATATTAGTCTGGCATACGGGAGTGGAAGTACAGAGAGTCGGTACAGGAGAATCGGGTAGATGTGTGAAACACATACTTCCGCCCTCCCCTTCAAGGAAAACCTCCTCCGAGACCACAGATTAACCGCGATCTCGGCCTTCCCTTGTACCTCCGACCATTTCATTTCCAACTGGAGATCAGGACCGAACCATACGCCCATCCGTCCAGAGGAAAGGTCCGGGAAGAGAAACTCCCTTCCACGCACCCAACCGCAAGCCAACAGACTTATTGCGGTTGATCTTACCCACTGATCTCTTTGCTGACTTCGTTAATCTTGGCTCTGCTCGACACAAGAACCGAAACGTCGTCAGCATAGGCAGAATAACTGGCTGAGGTGGTAGCCCCAGACAGGGAAATTCCGCGCAGGACCGGATTCGCCTTTAACTTGCGAAGGAATGGTTCCAACGCAAGAACGTAAAGCAAAGGCGAAAGCGGACAACCTTGACGAATGGAGCGAGACAATACGAAAGGATTCTATCTTACCCCACTCACCTCCTCCAGCGCACCGGGGGTCGCATACAAAAGTCGGATCCAGGAGCGAAAGTCGGCTCCGAAACCGGCCGCCGAAAACGATGGTCAACCCTATCGAAGGCCCTGGACTGATCTAAATTGATCAGCGCGGCTTCACTGTCAACTTGTTCTAAGATCAAGCGTACCATATGAAGGTTATCCTGAATAGTCCTGCCCTTCACAGCACAAGTCTGTTCGGAGCCAATCAGACTAGACAGGACAAGCTGCAAACGGTTGGCTAAGATCTTCGCCAAAATCTTTAACTCAGTGTTTAACATGGTTAAAGGGCGAAAATTACCTAACCCATCCCCACCGTTCTTGTCCTTACGCAGCAACTTGATCACATCCCTTGTAAAGCGTTGAGGTATAGACCCCTGCTTCATCCAGTGGTTGAAAATCAGTTCCAGCAAAGGAACAAAAACGGGCGACTGCCTCAAGTAAACTTCGTAGGGAAGACTGTCTAGTCCCGGAGATTTATCCATGCCAACCTGCTTCAGCGCTTCCCAGATTTCCGACTCTGTGATGGGACCCTCGCACCTAGCCGCTTCAGCTGCCTTGAGGCAGGAAAAGTCGGCTAAATAGTCGTCGAACTTAGAACAGCTCAGACCGGGCTCCCTGGTGAAAAGATCCTGAAAGTATTCCCGAAAGGCTTCGCATATGCTCGCATTTGTAGTCACGGTCCGCTTATCCGGCAATGTGACGCACGCGATATGTCGCCTAGACACGTTCCGATTTTCCTCTGCACGTAAATTCAGCGGCCATATTCGTCGCCTCAGAAGACATTCTTTTTAACCTAGCCGTAACTACCAAAGCTTGATCCTTCTTGATAAGCAAGGAGGACTACTCTGCCTTAGCTAAGACTATTTCCCCACTATCACTGGATTTCACAGCTCGATCAACTTTATGTTCTAAAGCTGTTTGCGCCGCTAATCTATCTAGATTGAGTCGACGACTAAAATCGGCAGCAAACGTTCTAATTTTGGATTTTAATTTATCCCACCAGGCATTCCCTAAAACCGCCCCGTCAATTCCCTCTGTATCATTAGTAGCAACTGGTTCCGGAAATCCTGCTCACCAAATAATGAACAGTTAAATTTCCAGTAACCAGCCAACCTAACCTTAGGCTTATCTAAGTTTACGCGGACCCGGACAAGCCTATGGTCCGAATAAACTATGTAATGGAAGCTTGGACACCCTAAGACTCGGTCGAGGTAGCTAGCAAGCGTCCCAGGAGCAGAGTTGCCACTATTTGTCCAAGTCCATGCTACCTCCCGATGGTGCTCATTCCGGTACTTATCGACAAGATGAAACTCATCGATAAAGCCACGAAATGATTTCACGTCCCGGTTGTTAGTACCCGGATTTTGACTATGCGATCTATATCGGGGTCAAGGACGGCATTCCAATCCCCCACTAAAACTAACCGACAGGATGTCGTCAAGAACGGCCCGATCTGCCGAAACAAAGCAGGCTGCTCAGAATGGCTATTGGGCGCATAAACCCCAATGAGACGTAGAGCCTTATCCTTTATAGTAACATCCAGCACGCAAAGCCTGCCCGCCGGATCTGCGAAGACAAGGGTACATGCAGCCTTCAAAGACCTGCTCACTAGCCAAGAGAGACCCCTGGAACGACCATCAAAACATGCTGAATAAAGGGAGGACCCCTTAGACAGTATGTCCTCACGTCATGAGAAGAAAACCGGGTCTCTTGCACACAACAAATATTCACCCCGAGGCGCCGAAGGTCACGAGAGAGCCTCGTCCTGCGAGACTCGGACCTCAGGCCCCGGACATTTACACTTGCAAACCAGAGAGCCATAGTGAAGACCGATTAGTGTTGAAGTACTGGTTTGAACATGGCCGGGGTAAGGATACCGACAGCCTCTCCCATAGATCCATCGCCCATCTCAGTCTTGATGGTACCGTCTTGGGAGATTCCGCCGATATCCCATGGAAATGTCATTTT